GTATAGTAGAAACGAGCACTATAAGTGTGTATATACAGAATATATATATATATATATATATATATATATATATTGAGAAATAGGTGTAGTTCCACAATTAGTTGGTCGAGCAGTGAGTGTATACATGTTTCATTCCGGGCGAACACATGGTAGGTAGCGTATTGCCTGTGTGCATGGTGATGTCTATTCTCTGAGTGTGCCTGTGTGATATCCTCTGAAGGTGCTGTCCAACACATCTTCGAAGTTCGGACGTCAAATGTTCGGGACCTCTGCAGCCAACCACACAGCCGTTGGGGCTTGATAACGACTGCACATCTACCGGGAAATGACGGAGTCATTCGGTGGTATACCCGAAATCTAAAAAGAGCACATCGTACCCGATGTCTAAAAATAGAACATCAGAGAGACGGTGCGGTACAGGTCATGGCCTGTAGATAAGACAGCTAAAGCAATCCGCAGTTAAAAACCAAAACCCAATGGCAATGCAACACGCACGAACAGTCCATCGCAATGCATCCACTCATGCGGAATCAATCGCATCCCTCAACTGACGCAGAAACATTGTCAAGATCGGAACGCAGTCCAAATCAACGCATGTCGGCCCTGCCCTGAAGTCCTCGAGTGCACCCCAATCTCTGAATTGGGACCGCCTGCACTACCTATACCTGATCATTTTGATCCAGTTTGCGATGCTTACTGGGCTGCTGTGGACCTTTTCCTCACAGGTGAGTTGGTGGTATTGACAGACCTGTGTGTGTCTCCTCATGTACTGGTGAGTGTGTATGTATGTATGCTCTCGTTCATTTGCTATTACTTCTCTATTCCACATAGTCTATCGTCCTCTCCTGTTATAATAGTTGCTGTATCCTTAAATGGTATTCTAGAACAGTTTGATGTACTGATTTTATTACTATAATAGCATATACACGTGTAGATGTATGTGCTACGGTGGCATGTAGTGTGGGGAGTGATGGTTGGGAGTGTATAGGTGGTTCATTTGCAGTTGTATGTGTTCTTGTGTGCATATACACGTGTAGATGTATGTGCTAAGGTGGCATGTAGTGTGGGGAGTGATGGTTGGGAGTGTATAGGTGGTTCATTTGCAGTTGTGTTTGTTCATGTGTTCATATACACGTGTTGATGTATGTGCCAAGGTGGCATGTAGTGTGGGGAGTGATGGTTGGGAGTGTATAGGTGGTTCATTTGCAGTTGTATTTGTTCATGTGTGTACATATAACCGCTGGCGCCACTGGTGTGACTATCGGTGTGCACTCTGACACATTATTAGCCAAAAATGTATTACATACCTGTATGAATGTGCATGTCTGGAGTATAATTATGTCATATGACTTCATCACAAGTGTATGTGTGCCTTTTTTTATGTCTATATATATATATATATACGTATACGCCATATGCACAAACGTGCTGGTATTCACATACAGAGTATATCTAGACAATGTGTGCCTTTGTATGTTGGGGTGAAGTCAGCAATGATGGCGTTGCAAGTGTAGCCCCATATCACATAGGACCATGGAGAGCACGATCATACGCGTGATTAAGCAAACGTATACGTCTTAAGCTTGTACATTTGCGTTTTATTTACGAATTTCCGTTTATCTGAAGCGCATGCTTTATCCTCTATTGTATTTGTCTGTGGTGTTTGTGTGTGCGTATGCGTTTGTGTGTGCTTGTGCATGTATGTGTGTCTGTCTGCTTGTGTATGTCTGCGTACATGCAGACATACACATATATATTTGCCCCTTATATTTGCCCCTTTCCAAGTATGCCTACATACCTTCTATCTCTCCTTCAACTGCCAAGGTGGTTCCCCACGCACACCAAGTCCTGTCATTGGAATCGATACCTTTCTTCTCGAACTCCACCAAAGTTCTGTCCATTATTTTTTTTGTAAATTCTATCGCACTTGTTGCAGACATACATGAGGAATCGTCCCAAAACAATCCTCCTTGCGTTGGATATGTTCCAAATCATGGGGCCAGCTCTCCCGTCTCGGTTCTAAATACTGCATTCATATACTCACGCGTGTACGTTTCCATACAGATTTGTACATGTGTAGGTATGTTTTCACCCAAACTTCACCTCATTCTCAACTCTGTACCTCTGACAGCAAACAACCATATCCAATTTGATCGAAAGGCACGAGGCAAAACACGCAGCACGCAACCCCGCGCTTTCCAGCGATATCAGCGCCGGTCTAAAAATAGCACTGGCGGACGAACACATCCACGACTACCACGATGTGACTATTAACAAACACAGCCACAGCGACACCAGCGACAACAGTGCATATGCCACAACACCCCCACACCACACTGAACGCAGTGATGGTAGGGTACAAATGGAAGCAGACGAAGCAGCTGAACTCAGGGATAGTATAGTACGAGTGGAAGCAGATGAATTAGGTGACATCACAGGACAAAGCACAGTAGAGTGGAAGACCGGGGACGGGATGGGTAGGGATAAGCCTTCGGAGCTCTGCGATGGGTCGGGGTGTGACAAAGTCGCTGAGCTTCCCTCGGACGAAATCAGGTTAACGGACAGGCAGGAATTGAGATGAGGTCGGCAACTCTGGTAGTGAAATATATTACGATACGGGTGCAACCCGCCGATTGTTGCGACTGGCCGGGGTGTGATGAAGGTACAGTGATTTGCCTTCCGATGTGCTCGTATTAGCCCAGTGACAGGGCTTCAGATGAATAGGAGAGATCGCGATACAAAGAGAGGGTAGTACAATACACAATACGACATACTTGTCAGTGTGAGAAATACAACCTGACTAGAAGAGAGGGTAGTACAGTAATACGACACACTTGTCAGTGTGAGAGATACAACATGACTAGAAGCTTCAGATGAATAGGAGAGAGCGCGATACAACCTGACTATAAGAGAGGGTAGTACAAAAATACGACACACTTGTCAGTGTGAGAGATATATGATGACTAGAAGAGAGGGTAGTACAACAATGCGACATACTTGTCAGTAGGAGAGGTACAACATGACTAGAAGAGAGGGTAGTACAACAATACGACACACTTTTCAGTGGGAGAGGTACAACATGACTAGAAGAGCGGGTAGTACAACAATACGACACACTTGTCAGTGTGAGAGATACAACATGACTAGAAGAGAGGGTAGTACAACACACTTGTCAGTGAGAGAGGTACAACATGACTAGAAGAGCGGGTAGTACAACAATACGACACACTTGTCAGTGTGAGAGATACAACATGACTAGAAGAGAGGGTAGTACAACAATACGACACATTTGTCAGTGCGAGAGATACAAAATGACTAGAAGAGAGGGTAGTACAACAAAACGACACACTTGACAATGCGAGAGATACATGACTAGAAGCGAAGGTGATACTACAACATGCAGTAGAGATTCTGATCCATTGGATTCTGTAGATATTCTGATCCATTAGATTCAGTAGAGATTGTGTTGGCATGGTAACGAGAATAAGAAACCCACATGCACTGCAACAAAGAAGGATACCTCACTGATCCCGAAGTAAGCGATGGGTCTCGCTATACGATTAATGAACGCTATACGATTAGTGAACGCTATACGATTAATGAACGCAATGTGATGAGTGAACGCTATACGATTAGTGAACGCTATACGATTAGTAAACGTTATACGATTAGTGAACGCTATACGATTAGTATACGCTGTACGATAAGTGAACGCTATACGATAAACGTTACACGATTAGTCAAGTGGGGAAATTGTGAAGACTCGCCTGCGATAGAACGTTACGGTGTTGGGCAGTCGCGTGTTGCACCGCACAACACCTTCGCAGTGACGATAGACTACCTTCGCAGCGACGATGGACTGGTGAGAGGGCTCTGTCGAGGTGCGAGGTACATTCTCGGGAATGGAGAAGGCATACACACACCTTCACACACCTTCACACACCACACCTTCACACACCACACAGCTTCACACACCTTCGTATGAGCTCACATATCCGCTATGCAAAGTACTGTAGGAGAATAGGAGAAGAGGATGGCCATCCTCGGACAGGAGGTCCTAAAGCCCTAAAGTCCGAATCTGAAAGTGCAGGCCACACAGTGCATTTGGCTATTGGAGCTACACATCAAACAAGAGCCTTAGACTATAAACAGCCCAAGACGACTGAAGATGCACTAAGAAGTCAAGCACCTGCACTGCACCCGCTTGTGTCTTCGAGTGAAGCAGAACGCACAGCATGCGCCAGTCTCGCTGAGCATACTACTAAAACCCTAAACCCTACGACCTAGGTGTGTGTAAACGAAGACATAGGTGTATGTACAATGGTAGGACCAAGCAACCGGTTCATCTATCCCAAAGGTAGAGCATTGAATGGACATAGCACTGAGCCACGAGGCCATGAGATGTGCACGTGGTATCTATATATAGATATACTTTCCCTAGGAATATATATATATATATACATATAGACATGTAAATAAAATATTTATATAGTTATATCTAAGACGTGGGGTGTCAGGCTCACACAGTCACGTGGGAATACGACAGAGCGGACACTTCAGATCAAGGCACACACAAACTGCACACAAGTTTAACGAGATATGGGAGGGTCATCAAACAGACACCCAGAAAGAAAGGCTGGATCCAGCCAGGTGCGTATGTATGCAATACACAATGGGCCATGGAATACACCACGTCATGAGGTATACACGTGGTCATTAAATAAACACATGGAAACACACGTGGGCTGGAGCCACACACGTCTAACTGTGGCAGTACTCGGTTATGTACTCTTCACCGGGCGGTCATTGGATAGAAACTTACAGTGATACACAGACACCTGGGTGAAACATGTG